ATGACCAGTAGTTATCTTGCTTAAAGCCCAGATCCTGATTCTAAAACCAATAAAGCAAAACCTGAAGAGAAAAAAAAAAGTTAGCAAGAAAAAAAGCCAAAAAAAGAACAAAAAGAAGACCAATACTTATCTTATATAAAGCCCAGCTGCTGATCTCAAAATTAATAAAGTGAAACATAAAGGAAAGCTGAGATGCAACCTAAAAAAAAAGAAAAATTAAAAAAAGTTAAAGAAAGACCAGTACTTATGTAAAACCCAGTTCCCGATCCCAAAATCAATGAAGCGAAACATTAGGAAAACATGAAGAAAATCTAAAGCAAATCCTAAAAGAAAAAAGTTAGCAAGATAAAAATAAAGAAAGAAAGAACAAAGAGAAGACCAATACTTATCTTATTTAAAGTCCGATCCGAAACCAATGAAGCAAAGTATGAAGGAAACCTAAAGCGAAACCTAAAAAAAAAAAGGTTAGTAAAAAAAAAAGCTGAAGAACAAAAAGAAGACCAGTGTAGTATTTTTGTATTATTGTGAACCCTTCATAACGTACGTACGTGATTATTTTAACGGAGATGATGTATCATATTGACATGATACGTAGCCATAATGATAGCAATAATAATACGTAATTGACTATTTTTATTTTTTTTAACATGATTGATAAATCGACTCCTGCAAATTTATCTTTAAATATAGACCAATTATTTCCAACTACTTCAACTGATATATCTTCAACCGAAATATTTCCAGAACAAAATAGAACATTGAAACGAAAAATTGCAGGCCGGCCAAGAGAAAAGATTTGTGATTACTACATAACAAGTAACGTCATTAATGATCTTAGTGCAATTTGTCATTATTGTTCAAAATATCGAAGTTATGGCCGTACTGCAAAAATGGAAGCTCATCTCCTAAAGACATAAAAAAATATTGGCAAGAATTACTTTCTGATAAAATTATTATTATAAGCGAACAAAAGGCTAAAAGACTCGAATTAAAAACAATTAAATCAGCTTGATTTACTGATTTACTGCTTGGAAATGATTATGTAATACGATTTAATAGCGTTTGAAATGAATAGTGAATATAATTTATAATTTGATCAGTAAAATTTATAACGATGCTAATAATATGTGGTATATAATGAATTTATAAAGCAATAGTGATAGCATTATGTCGATGTAGGGACCTTGTTCTGTAACAGGTACGTAGTAAGCACACACGTACCTACGTTGTTACGCCTAGAATATATATACACACACACATTTATGATACGTATTCCCACTCTACACCCGATTTAGACATATTACATTATTAATTAAAAAAATGAGGTAATAAAACATGCAAAAATTATTACAACAAACTAATATAAGATTTATACAATCGAAGTCCGGATTTTTCTTTTCACGTTGATATAGGATAACATAGTCTGCAAGTGCAAGTTGTAATGATTATTTATTAATTGGCATTTATTTATTTATGATACATTTATTTCGTATTTAATTTCTTTTTATTTATGTTTATTCAGATTGCGCGAGTTAATAGTCGTTATCAAAAGATAATTTATAATCAAAGTATTTAAGATAAACTAATCGGTTCTCATTTAATTTGCATTAAATTAGTCTGTAATGATATTATTTATTACGTGAGTATTAGGCCACACAAGGTGGATTTTTCGTTTTGCATTCGAAATTTCGGTCAGGCGGTTGGATTTTTTTTTAAAACTAATAGACTGAATTTTCATGAAGCCGAAGTCTTCTATGATCTCTTGCAGTATGAGTTACACCTAGTTTAAATCAATTGATTACTAAGACATTTTATTAGGGTGTCACCTATACTGCAAAAGATCCGGGAAGACTTTTGACGCATGCTATATTTTCAATACGTACAATAAAACCGAGTTTGAATCCGATACAGATTTTATTAATTAAATTAAAAAATGGATCTGGCTTTCAACTCTACTAGTAATTCATCTAACTTTAATATAAATTAAACTTCTTAATTCAGACAGCGAAATCGCCACAAAATCACGTTCTAGTTTTTATACCAAGAAAAAAAGTATATACCAGCATTGCATATTGCGAGATAACAAAAAGAGCTATAATTAAGATCAGATTACACAAAAGTATAGCTAATTTTATGAGGCGATAATGATATTTCTAGTTAATTAAAATTACCATCTAATTTTATGTAAGTGTTCAGCATAAATTGAAAAGGTACTATGGTATGTTTTATAAACCTTGCTACCTCTTGATATTACCAACAAATCTACTAAGGGTGTTAAAAATTCATACATAATCATGCCATCTTTGGGATTTTTTAAAACTTTCAAAGGTTCCAATAAATCAGCAAAGTCGTCTAATGTATATACACATGGAAAAGTTTGAAAGAAAGGCTTGAGGGAAGTGTCATTACGATTTACATCTGTTGCCAAAAATATTACGGGTAGTAAAAAAGTTTTGTTATTTTCGAT